GTCCATAAAGTTTAAATATTATTAATGGTTTATTTATATACTATTAAATTGTCTCAATATTGTGTTCTCATGTAAGTGACAATATCTGTCTTTTTTGAGACTAAAATACTTTAAACCTAAACCATTATCTGTACTTTTTTATGTAAATTTAGTAGTGAATGCAAGTAATATTTTCATAATAGTGTGCATTTTTTATTAATTTTATGTACATTTTAAGTATTATTATAAAAATTCATTCATGCATTTTAATCTTCATCTTAATTTTTGGAAAAAGAGGCCAAAGTCTTTGTTTCGGTATTATAAATTAATATTTGTTGTTTATGTAATTTAAAATCACTGTCACCGTTCTCTTTACACATAATTCCTGCATAATCAACCTTTTTTCATTTGCCTATGATTTCTTTATAATTCAAAATTTCAAACTCTCTAAATAAATAAATATTAGACGACAACAGCGATACTTAAGCTCATATCCCAAATGAAGTAACTCAACCACTTGTACTATCGAAATCTCTAAAACAAAGTCTTGGATTTAATTTTTTCAGATTTTATTTTGTTTTATAAAATATTGTAATATTTTTACAATCGAATATTTCTATTCTGTTTGAGAGTAAAAGGTCTCTCCTTCATTTTAATACGTATTGCTTCTTGTTTGCTATACCTTAAGTGATAAGCAAATCGATCCGACATCACATTATCATTTTGTCTACATTTTAAGCCACTCCCTTATTTATCCACATAGAGTCGATCCTTCTATCAGCAAAGTGCATGCAATATAAATTACCCATAAAAACATTTGTTTCAATGATAACATCATTCGATATTAATATCGAAATAACTCTGAGATACAACATAATGAACAATTAAAAATAAAGTAAAACAAAACATGATAACGATACATTGAAAAAAAAGTATTGGTATAATCACTACTGAATATATATTAAAGTCACTCTTCATTGCTGTGATTCTTTTAACCTTTAGAGTCATATACCATTAATTAGTATAGTAGCCACTCACGCGATTTTCACGATCAACACTTACACTTATCTATACGTTGAGAACGATAGTGACACAATGCAAAAAAAAAATTGAGTAATGAGCGTTTAAAGTTCAAAAAATTGTAATCAGCCCTTCTGAACAACGTATCGTCACTACGCCACCTAGCAGTTTCTACGCAAGCTATATTCACAGGGATCTTTGCATTTTAAAGTTTATACATTACAATGAAAAATGTTGGCAAAAGTAAAAAATACGTCGTTTTTGGTTAGTGACATTGTCATTCTCAACGTGCGAATTATATAAAAGATGTCCTGACTTACTGACTGACAGACAACGCAGAGCCTAAAGCGCTGGTCGTAGAAACTTGAAATTTCGAGGGAACATTCCCCTTAATACGTAGAGGTGTACTAAGAACGGATTTTTGGATATTCCATCCCGAAGGGGGTCAAAAAGGGTGAAAAGTTTTGTATGAAACTTCTTTGTTTATGGACCTATATCGATGAAAATTGGTATTTGAGTAGTTTATGACCCTAGGAAGGTAATAGGTTATATTTTATCCCGAAAACTAATACTTAAAGGAATAAAAATGGGAGTAAAAGATTTTATGGGGAATCAAAATGTTACCATAGCAACCATTTTTTACAATCTGATTTGTCATTGTAATAAAATTACCTAATATTATTTACAAAATATTTAATTGTATAGGCATGAAAATTGGTGTATAAGTAAATATAAAATTTTTGAAACTTTAATTGATAAAAATGTTCAAATTCAAGTAATTTTGTTTACAAAATAAAAATTAATTTTATATATACATGAACTATACTAGATGGCGTTAAATGAATTCTAAATCGCAGATTTTTTTGCCTAGAAAACTTACCTAGAATATCTTGCCGAGCCGATGGCGAGTATGTTCTGAATCGTGATATTATTTTTATCAAAGAACTTTGTGCAGTCTTAAAATCAAAAATATTAAAATTTTGCTCCAAGTTAAGGTATATATTTGTGTTTTTCGTTTCATCAGTAATTAATTTATTGAGAATTGATAGGTCTTAACCTAATATTTCAAGTTGATAATTTTTCCAAATCCTATTTTATTACATTTGTCCATTCATGATGCGGCCAGCCATTTCATGAAATGGAAAATTTCTTGCTGTACACATCATGTGGCCTGACCAGATCAATGAATGATTTGCGTTTAAGGCCGGCTGGGCGCTTGTAGCCCCACTGGTGTTGCAGGTGTCCATGGGCGACGGTTATCACTTACCATCAGGAGATCCGTCTGTTCGTCTGCCCCTTATCCCATAAAAAAAACTATATGGGCGGCTGATAGTATGACTCCTTCATGATGTGGCCAAGAGTAAGTGATCATATCGTAAAATAGTTACGTAAGTCTCAGTAAGAGGCGCTGATGCCGCATTGTTTTTGTGATACAGTTTTTATTTTAATTTTTAGGTTATACAATTTATTAAAGAATTACTTATTAACGGAAAAAAATTACTTGATTAAGTTCAGTGAGACAAATGTAGGAGTGCAGTGCGAAGGTGCAGCAGCAAAGGCTATTTCTATAGTTTTATGGATATATCGCAGGTCATGATAAAGACAGGATTGTGACCTAGCTCCAAAGGCTCATAAAAATATATTGGAGGATAAAAAAGTTTTTGAGATATGAACTGACATTAAGTTCCTATATTATTCACTACTTTAGGTTTCGTGATAGGTTAGAAATTTAAGACATCCACGAAACGTCGCGTAGTGATCGTATTAAATATCGAGGTTGTTTTATTTAGACCACAAAATCATAACTCTAACGAATAAACAAGGTATTTCAGCAAATAATTAGATTTCTTTGGACATCCTACATTAATGATATGACCAAACGTGGATTGACATATCATTTAACGTTGACGCTTAAATGATATGATCAAATAGCCTGTCGATCATAAAATCATAAATTCTATGATATGGCCACTACATATATATGTAATGAAATATGTAGTTTATTGAAAAAAATATATTTGTTGTACTGTTAATAGAAATATTATTTCATCATCAGCCGTTTCAACTCCCTACTGCATGAGCTCAAGCCTTCGTTATAGATGGTGGTAAGGAGGATGAGCCATAACCTTTTACGCTGGCCTAATGCTGATTAGAGGGTATTAAGGACTGCAAATGAAGGGCTTTATGTGCCTTTCGAAACACGGAGTAGCTTGAGATATTCATTTTTGGTCACCCATCCCGTGACTGGCCTTTGCGAAAGTTGCTTAACTACAACGACCGCGGGGCTTATCCACTACACGACTAAGTTACTCGGATTTTTTTTTTATTGGCATCTAAATTTGGATTTATTTATTTTAAAAATCACGTTAATATTTTATTGTATAACTCCAGAAACAATTTTTCCATTCATGAATTTCTAGAATGAACATAGCGTAAAGTGCTGCCGACATAGATAACGTTTTTATCAAAGAATTTTGAGTATAATATGTTTTCGATAAGGTAAGTTTTATGTAAATTTCAGAACTGTTTTTCATCTGTATTCCAAATTGGGTTGGATTGGATTAATATCTCTACAGTTTTCAAAGATATAGTACTGAAACGTATTGGATATTTGTGTTTTTTTTGTTGTAGTATCCTCAAACTTAAACATTAAGGTAATTTTATGATCAGTTCGAGAAACAACAGCGTTTTTGGAAAATACATGCTGCCCAAAGTAACCATCGACGAAGTTGCGGGCAAAAGCTAGTCATAATATACTACAATGTATCTAACCTAATCAGCTAGGTTAGATACATTGTAGTATATTGGCGTCCCCAAGAAAATATATGCCAATGAGTCAACGTTATTTCATTCGCCTACTATATCGGCTTTGGCAGCCAGTTGTGGCGTCTGCCAGATACCGATCGCAGCTACTGAGACGCTTCTAGCGTCATTCAAATATTTAAGTACTTACTATGAAATTTTTTTAAAGAAGATTTATATTTTTTTTGACAGCTTCTAGGTACTGTATTTCGATCGTTTAACACAACTTCTAAATAGTACACGCACTTTAATATGCACGTATAAACACGCACACACACACACACACCATATTATACTTTATTAAATATATGTAATACATATATGTTCATTCATATATTGAAATGTTAAAACTAGGAAATGGTGATCTGTACTATGGGTTTTATATAAGAAGCTCTATCGGGCATAAGTATCTCATATGATATGGATTTTGTACCTTTGTTTCCTTTTACCTCAAGCAGTACCTACAAAAAAAAAAATTATTATCACCTATGAGAAGTAAGGCTAAATCAGAAAGTGTCACAATAAATGTGATATATTAGCTTTTCAAGCTAGTACTCCTTAAAAAGTCTACGATATTCCTAGCTTTTAGAGCTTTTATACCTTCTGATTATTTGTTCTTTATTAAACTATTAGTGACACTAAGTTTCATGAGAAAATGGCATCTGTTTAATTTGGAATATCCAGTTAAGGCTTGTTCATATAGCTACACATCATAATCACATTAGGCGAATGTTTTAAATTGTATAAGCATTGTTACTCATTGGCTTAGATAGTAACTTGTTTCAAATCTGTTATTATATGGAAGATTGTATTACTTAAGTATTATTGGCACTTGATTATTTTCAATATTGCGATGGAACGTGACAATTTAACTGATCTTTTTTCTTGTGTTTTTTCAACCTAAGAGGATTTTCCATTCACTATATGGAGAAAGAGAGATCATTGGAAAATAGTTATTCTACTTTTGCTAGGTTTGTAATTAATAGAAAAAATGATACCAAATTTTTAAATATTTCGCTTCTATATAAGCCTATACCTTCAATCAACTTTGAAGACATAAATAATTATTTTTAGTTAATATCATTATTTTCTATCAGATTAGTGTAAAATTTATTAGAACTAATCTTATAAAAGAAAACTCATATTGGTGTATTTCGTGTTTGAAGGCATAACAAGATAAAAATAAAAGAGTAAAATTTCACATTGAAATATTTATTATTAATAATACTTTCATATTATCCTAATTCTTATAATAAAAATTCGAAAGAAATATTATAAGTTCATTGTATTAGACAATTAATCAGGTACGTCTCAGTGCTGTACTTGCAATGTTTACAGTTTTACGAGAGAAAATTTTTTAGAGTGCATTTTAAACAAATCCAAAACTCAAACTGAGCTTTATATGTGTTAACGAATATCTCTTCATTTCTAATATAAAAATGCTATTAAGCAGTTACATGAGAAATCGAATTAAAACATTGTTATAACATTACATTATAATTTATAATAGTAAAACTGTTAAACTACTTAAAATAGTGTCTTATAAATTTGAAACAAAATCTAATCTATATATTCGTAAATATATTATCCTGAACGCACGTCAAGCTCACTCAATGAAGTTGTTTAATACGCTATCTTGTCCCTACATCTTTAACAGTGTAAGAACCGCCTACGACATGCTTGGAGCGAGTGCAATACACATGTCTTGATATGAAAACTATTTCTCCTACGTCAAACTTCTGAATAGTTCAAGTTAAACAAGACAAGAACAAGAAATTTTAGCGTAAACGTAGGTAATAGAATCTCAACAAAGCATCATTTTGTAACAAATGAACCTGATATTTTATGATGTGACAGCATTAATAAATAAAGGATCTAGTTTAATTCCGAATCAGCGTATCCAAATGTTCGAACCCTGCTGATACCACCGTCTGGAGCCATAGAAACTCTAATGTGAGTTATGACGTCAGAATCGCAGTCGTACCAATGCTCTTTGTGTGCAGATAACTGTAAAATAAACGAAACATAAATTATATTTAAACTAGCTTTCCGCCAACGGCTTTGCCCGCGTGGTCTTCTATTATACATATAAATTGCCCTCTTGAATCACTCTGTATATTATTAAAAACTGCATACAGATACCGATATCTTAGTGGGCGGGAAGTGACATTGTATTATACTTTGTATAGATTTCTCAGATAAGTATAAATTTTATTTTTATCCATTTATTCTGCGCATTACTATAGTAATACTAAAAATTCATTATTTACCTTACTAGGTCTCAGAATATTACTCCAAGTACACTTTAATTGTGGACACCAATCTGCGTGTCGAAGATATGCTCCCTCAATTTTGACGGAGTCCGGGAAATTCCCTTTGAAATGTGCTGTATCCACGCAAATCCTCTGTATCCGCCCAGGAAAGCCGAGCTTAAATATGGCCCACTCTTCACCTAAGATATAACGATAATATCATCGGTAATTAAAATGGTAATAATAAATATTTATTTAAAGCATCATATTATATTCAATTCGTTTAATACACATTACACAATTAAATTAATATAATTGATAATTAAATTATTCCGTCTACTTTATAAAGAGAAATATCACAGGCAAGCTTCAGTCATGTTTTCCTAATTTGTGTAAAGACGAAGTATTATTTCATCCAGACACGAGAAATATTAATTATTATGTCTCGAAGAGTTGATCAATTGAAAAGATATATTTTGATGTTTCAAAATTCAACGTTATTAATTTTCATTTTTGAAATCTTAACTAGAATATTTTTATATAAATAATGAAAGTTGAATTTATAGTTTGTGTTTTCAATAAAAATTATATGCTATATTACCTGGAACTTTCAATGTTCCATCTTCGTTTGCCTCTAGTACTTCTGGTCTATCGAGTCTTCGTGCTGTCTCCCAGCCGTCCGCCATGCATTGACTCTTGCCTGGTTTGATCATGTTGCGTGGATGTCCATAATGAGCATTTGAATAACCTACAAAGAATGGAATTTTTTAATTTTGTAAATATAAGTAATAAAATTTTATTATTATTCGAAGCGAGATATGGCAAAAGTATCAGATGGTACATAAATTTTGATGTGATGGTACGTAATAAACATGTTTTAGGGTAATTTTTTATGTCGCTTAACATCTAACATCAAGTAGCTCGGTGGCGTAGAGGATAAGCGCCGTGGCCCGCGATCGTTGTTGTTAAGCGACTTACGCAAGGGTCGGTCATGGGATGGGCGACCAAAAATTATTATCTCGAACTACTTCGTGCTTCGAAAGGCATGTTAAGCCGTTAGTCCCGGCTGCATTTGCAGTCGTTAATACCCTCCAATCCGCATTGGACCAGCGTGGAGGGTCATGGCCCATCCTCCTTAACCATCCTTAAGGAAGGCCTGAGCCCCTGCGGTGGGGACGTAAAAAGGGTTGATGATGATGATGTCGCTTAACTCTAGGGGATATCATTGTTAGCGTTGATATGTTGAAAGAAACAACCTTTTATTAATTTACACAACAATCCATAATGTCTATTTGAAATCCTAAGGAAAATATTAAAACAATTTATTAAAGATCTACCAGTCTCTACGGTCCCAACATGAATTGAGGTTTACGAGTAATTAAAATGAATGAGACCCTTTTCAGCTTCTACTGTCTACCGTCATTAACTATGTCATCATTACTATTGGAAAAGGTGATCTAAATATTGATTTACTTCAAACAATTTATATCTTGCAACTATAGACGTAAACGTACTTTTTTCACAAAATATACCGTCGGTAAAAGTGTTTTGTTACGAACGAAATTGCAATCTGCGAAAGTAATATATGTTTTTGCATATATTACTTTCTCTGCTACAATATTAATATATGTTAATTAATATTGTAGCAGAGAAAACGAATTCTGAAATATTTCAATGCTTTATCCAATAATATTGTCGTTGTTGATTTAGATATCAAATGCGTGACAAGATCTTTTTTTTTATTACAGAAACAGTTTAAAAATTCTTAGAGCATTACTACACATTAAAACACTAAAATTTAAAATATATATTTTTGGTACATAGTATAGGGTCTAATCATATGCGCATGTCCTAAGGTGCGAAAATATAACAATTAAGTACTTCCATTTCAGCTTACCTTGACATGTGCCACCGCTCAAGAGAGAGACTAAATCAACTATCTGATCCCTCGGCGGCGGTTCAGGACGAGCTTCGCCGTACACTCTTAATCTTGCGATTCCTCCATCAGGGTAGATATTAACTCGAATATGCGTCCAAGCCTCATCACTAAGCACCTAAATAAAATAATTTATCGAATAAATATATAAAATCGCTAAAATGTAATCAGATTGAAAATAAAGATTATGTTATCTTTATCCACAATTGAATTTATATGTAGTAGTCGTACCTCTAATAATTTTTCATATTTGATACCTATGGCTAGTTAGCAAGTAACTTAAAAGACAAAATAATTTTTGTCGTACCTCTGCTAATGAAATTAGACCCAACAATTATGTTTTGAATTACGCTTCTCTAATTTTTTATAGAACAAAAACTTTGTTATTTAATCAGTTTTAAGTGCCGGTCAATTAATTACGGCCATTGTTAAGAATAACAATCTCCCTTTCATCTAACCAACTCCTCTTTATAATAATATTCGCTTCAAGATGGTATATCATTTTGTTACGCTCAAGTTTCCATTCTCAATTCACTTAAAATAACAAGAGTATTATAATGATACGAAAATTTGTTTTAAAAATAGGGAAAGAGAAAACGATTTATTTTAACAATACCCTCAGCACGAAAATTAACGAGTCTGAAACGAATCCCTATCGAGCAACATGTTAAAATTTCATATTTATAAAGTGCAATCTATTGGCATAAAACAAATTAAGATTTGCCAATTTCATATGAGATAAATTCTTTCATATTCTGTTAAAGCTACACATCAAGAGTCTCATAAAAACAATTTTCGATATGTCGTTAACTTTACGACATTTAATATAAATTAGAGCAGGACAGATGACGAAATAGTCTGTGAGATATCGGATATCGATTTTTATAGGATGGTGTCTGAAATTCAAAAAGTTGCCATAGTGAGCTTAATACCTTTTGGAAGTTAAGCCTCGTCTCCTCATATCCCGGCCGCAGCGCTGTGACTGGCACTATCTCCTCCCATTTATCGGACTTAAGTCGTTCAATCTCGTCTAACTCGTATCGGCCGCAAGCTGAGCCCATTTTTGTATCTCTCGCAGGAATCAGAGCTTCGTCTGTTGGTTTTAGAAATTGATATTTATTGGGAGGCTTATCAGCTTTACGCTGTTTGTATGAATAGAGGGATTGTCTTGTTTAAAAGTTTTATAAGGTTATTTCTAACTGTGCAGTAAATTTTTAAAATCAAACAATAGAGTTAAACTTAATTTTAACAGTGTAGCATGCATATTATAAAATAGTATTTTCAAAGTGACATGTAATAGAAATAAATGCTGATATTATTACCTTCAGGCTTCAAACGAGCCGCTTGAATTGAATATTTCGGGGCAAAATTTCCCGTAAAATAAGCTGTATCTACCAACAACCCTAGAAGGAAGAAAAAAAATAATTACATATATAATTGGCTTTGTCGTATTTCTTATAACTACAAATATTTTACTCGGCGAAGAGATTCTTATGATGTTTTCTGGGAATCTTTAAATATATTTGATAAACTATATTTAATGAGAGTTTGCTACTTCTTTTCTACAAACGATAACTACTCTGACAATATTTACCGGCTCTGTAAACACCATTAGTTAATATACCTATAAGCTATAATTGTAGATAAATTTATTTATAAATTATTTTTAATTAAAAATTCTATGGTAAAGTTATTGTCATGCCAATAGAAGATCATGATCTTTTAGTTTAGAGATTAAATTCGAATTCATAATTAGGTTTTCTTCATCGTTTTGGGCTAGATTACTAATAGTGCTACTGTTTTCCGCGACACAAGGGCTTTGATCATTTAGAATATTAACAATTCATACGGTGTCAAGTTTTACTTGTTTACCTTTAATAACACATTTAGAAGCCAACTTCAGTATACACCAATCGTGGCCAGCGGTTCTTTTCCTCCTTGTCTCCCAGCCATCCATCCACTTCCCGAATTCCGTGAATTTGTCTGCTATAAAAACGGGTTCGGTATCCAGTAACATATTTTCGCATGGTGCGAAGAAATCGTCGGTAGAGAAAGCTACTTCTCCGCCAGCCTGTAAATATAAGAAACATGATTTATATGATTTTTTTTAATAGAATCTTAAAGAGGTTATGATCTAACTTTCATCATACTTAATAAATAATTACTAAAACGAAATATTAAAACCACAAATCGTTATTAGATAAACTTATTTTTAAATACGCTGTTCGAATGTTATTAAGAAATGAGCTTGAACGGAAGAAATAAAAGACGCTGATAATTGAAATGGTTTCACAAGATATTAATTTTTGTTAATACGTATACGTATTTGTTTTAAAAATACGTTTTGAAATAAATACGCTATATGAAATCTGGTATAAGTTAATTTAATTTGAAAGATCTTTCAAATCTTATCTTCATTGAAGCACAAATTGACTTTCACATACCCGGGCAATATCAAAGTCAATATAAAAGTCTTGATTATAAAACACTCAAAAATAATGTTATGATGAATAACTATATTCTTAAATAACGACTGTAGTACTCACACTTATACTAGCGAATTCGCTTAATTCCGTAAAAGCAGGCATCTTCTTTTCAATCATTTTTTAATAATGAATCAAATAACGATAATGTATTGACAAGTGTCGACGTTAATATCGGCCATACAAACGGAGACTGATTACAACTGAGTTCAGTATTCCCCTTTTATACTAAATCGGGTTGTTACTGATAAAAACAATAATAAATCTAAATAACTCACTTGTGAGTGCTTTTTGTGGTACCATTATAAATAGCTCAATAGGTTTTATATTCAAAGGATATCAAGCGGATCTTACTTAGTTTTTTTGGAATTTTTCCATTCTTATTACAGTTTTATAGATTTTACTTGACTCAATAATACTCAATAAAATATAAAAATAACTCAATAATTTAAAGACAATTTTTGTGGCATATTATAACTAACATATAAAAATGTTGCATTGAAAAATCAGACACCTTAAGTGGAAGGATATTTGTTTTCTCAACATAAGTTTAACTTGAAGTACAAAGTAATAATAAAATAAATATATAAGACAATATCGCATACATAGCTCAGATCCCAAATGAACTAGATTTTAGGATTTGTATTATGGCAATCTGAAACAATGAAGGAACAGCAACAAATAGCACAGAAAAGTTAATTTTCAATAAGAACGCGGCCGGTAATTGAACCCGAGACCTCAGATAACTACAAAGAGCAACCTCTTGAAACCGGTTCGCGAACCATCCGGTTAGAAAAGTAAAATTTTTTTAAACAATTAAATAACAAATGTAAAGTAGCCAAGTAAGAATTTAATTGTTTAATTAATTTTTTTCTGATTTTTATAAGGTTTACCAAACACATAAATTAGTCACAAATGAATAAGTAGGTATCGCTTTGGATGTTTATGAAATTAGCTAATATAATTTGTCTATTGACACCTTCCCATCTCAATTAATTTATAATTATGATCAGTACAAACAATCATTATACTTCAAAGTGTTTTGGTAGAATATAATAATAATTGTTATTTGGATTATACGCACTGGAACACAGAGAACATTGTGGTAATTATTATTAATTGTTTCTGTCATTCAATTAGATGAACACACAGACAATATGCCACATGAATGGGGGAAACATTTTGCATTATCGAAGAGACTGACATTTTGTTATATAGCTATCATAGTATGTATAGTATTATAATATATGACATTAAAGTAATGAAGCTAGTACCTATATACCTATAATAATCAATTTAACGAAAAATAATATACCTTATTACAAAACAAGTACTAATTTTAGTAACAGGTTTAAATTATTATCCGATCAAAATAAGTAAATACGTCTCAATTTGATAATTTCTCTTCTGTTATTGTCAATTTGCTTTATGCGACCAATGGATTATTTATTTATTTATTGATTTGTTACTCATGCCCAAAACTACTCGGTGCTCTAATGAAATTAAAGTTTCTACGATTTTTGCCAATGACGAAGCTATTTTTAATTTAGATATGTAGTTTAACAGAATGTATGTTAATTGAGTAGTATGTGAAGATGCCGAAAAGTTATATCGTTAGGAACCTCTTTTCCGTGTTCTGTGATTAGGAACCTACTACACGGCTCAAAAGAACTATGAAGTATTTGCTTTTTTTAAGCAAAAAGGACAATGATTTTGACTAATATGATGAGAATGATTAAGTTCAGGAGGTAACCTTCTAACTTCTAAATTATTTATTAGGAAAGCTTAAACGAACGTTCGTTGTAAGATACAGAGCCTTCTAGAATGTTTTAACTTTGTTGCAATTATGTCATCCTCCTACTGGATTATACATAACAATTTCAACCCGTCCGAATTCCGGAGAGGGTTGCTAGTTATGAATATAATATGTACGTATTACTCCATTATTATCAACATCTAATTAAATTTACATATCAAACTTCAGCCAAAATTTCGTTTAATATTTATGAAATTGCTACTACAACTTTTACTAAACTACGGATAATGATTTTTAATTATTGTATCTTATAAACAATGAAGAATGAAAAAAAAATGAAAATGTCTTTATTCGTTGAATCGTCCAAAAATTTTTTTTCCCCTACCACTTGATAATAATTAAATTTTAATAAATATATAGAACCTTTTCATTCGTTAGACGCCATTTTTTATATACATAAGAATCCACTGTTTAATTCATGTGTACTCAGCAGATAACGCGTTATTTTTAATTTAACATAGCATTAAAGTAAAATAATTAGTATAACTACGTGGACAAAATCAATAAAGGGCTAGATAAAAAGTGGAAATGTAACTACGTTATATAAACATTCAGTAAATATTATATTTTATCAGTAAATATTTTAAGAATCATGTAGGTAAGTGAAATTAAACTGTACATTTGAAAGGGTATATTCAACCAGTAATTGTTACTAGAAAGACTAGAAACGTGATAATTTATTAAGGGACTCATAATAAGGCCAAGGTCACATATGGACTATGGAGAGAACAATGTTTGATGTGTTTGCATGGTCGAATAAGAAACGAGGAGATCCAAGACTTACTAATAATGTCAATTGACATAGTTGCAAGAAGTAGTAATGAATGGCACAGGTAGCGAGGAGAACCGATGGTCACTGGAATGGAAAAGTTCTAGAATGGCGACCGCGCACCGGGCGATGCTGATTGGGTGGGGGACTGATATCAGATTTTTATTGGGACGATTTCTTCTTGTAGGGCTTCCATTTTTAAGAAAGTTCGATTCTTCGTGGAGGATGTCTAGTAAGAGTAATCTTAAGAGATTGTTAGTAGAAGCACACCAGAAAACATGGTGACATTAAAATCTCCTTTTATAAGAAAAAGGGAGAGGTACGGTTCTTTTACTAGAGTTCATCCTGCCATTAATCTAAGGTTTGAATGTAGCATCTATGGTGAAAATTTTGACCACGGTTCTAAACTAAACTTATCTAAAAAAAAAGATTACTTATGTACGACACAATAGAGAAACATTTAAGTTTTTGCACGTTACGTTTACTCTAACGCAAATCATATAGTACATAAGCTTTGTCAAAAGTCTAGGTTTTTAGATTTGTGTGCAGACTGTATAGTTTTTAGTTTTTGTGCTAAAGTTATTTGCATTCTAATTTTGTTTAGTGAGTCACGATATCTGAAATGTACGTGTGTAAATGGATTCAGATGTACCATAAAATATATTTTATTAAATTTAACGTTTTACAGCATTTCTGCCAGCTATCAATTTATATCGTTTCTAATTTCAACCTTATCGTTTCTAGTTTAAATTGCATTAGTGATATTTTTAAGTAACAGTCAAAAATAAAATAATTAAAAATTCGCTACAAACCAAGTGTTAATTGAATATGGAATTTTGTTTGTATTTTTTCTTATATTCCGCATTTTCCTTTGTATAAAGACCTACCTATACTTTTGTATGAATACGAATATTAATAGATATAAGTTCTGATTATAATCTTTAGTATAAAGTATCCGAGATCGTTGTTGTCAAGCATTTTCACAAGTGTCCGTTGGATGCGTGACCAAAGAGTTGTTCTCGGCTGCATTTGATTATAATTTTAGCTATTACATATCCGAGGTAACTAATGATTTTTACTTTAAAATTTTGAAACGTCCAAAAGTTGTTTCACATACTAGACAACTCTATGAGCTTGGGTTAACTTTTTTTTTGTAAAGAAAATGCTTTTAGCACACCCCGTACCCTGGCTGTGCGACGAGGTTATGTTGGACTGCTCTCTGTGGGTCCATCCAGCAGGTATTCGCTGAATAGACCCACTGAAGACTTTCTCCCACGGCCAAGGGATCATTACCTCGAGCCAGTGTTGAGTTAATCTAGTATTATCTCGTTATGACAGCTCCATTACATTATGTTAAGGAACTCTTAGTAAAGCTCTTGTTTTCCATTCCACGTTTCATGTTAGAAAAATTATAAAACCAAATTAACATTACACCAATGTTATAATTTAAGTTAATTAACGTTAATAAAATTAGAGGTAAGTAAAGGATGATTTAAATCCGCCATTTTTAGTAAGTCCTCAAAATTTCAAAGGAGTTTCTGGAAAAATCTTTTCTTGTGGTTCAGCCGAACAAAACATTCTATACAAACTGTATCAAGTTATTCTTAGGTAAGCTCTTTGTCAGTGCAATAGGCAAAAAGTGGTATGACCTTCAAAGTAAATTTAGTAAAAACGTTTCTTTGTGGCAAATTTCATCTAAATATAAATAAAATGTGTTAAAGTATTATAAAGATTGTTCGAACAGGAATCATAACAAAAAAGTATTAAAACTCTTCATTTGTAGGTAGGTTTTTGATTAAAATGCGTGCGAAATACATTCTAAAGCCAGTAAATTTTTTACTATGACGTCTATTACTAAGTATAGGTTTTCCTTTTGGATGGAAAGGTAAACTTTTAATGAATTTAAATTCCATGTAGTTATTTAATATTCTGCACGTGTAAGTTTGAGCTAGCTTTAAAACAAAAACGAATTATCCTTTTTTGAACGAAGCCGCTTAAAAAACCTTCGATAAAGAAGTATAACTTAAAATACAAAAAAAAAAACATAGTTTCTCACTTCTGTTATTTCCTTAACCTTCTACTATACGATGTTACTCGCCAAATTTCATAGGTCAATGGATAATACAATTTTTGCGACATAAACGACCATATCTTTTGGTTACGCCAATTTAGAAGTTTCATATTTTCACAATTTCAAGGGTCTGAAGACGTATATATAAGGTGGTAATTTAAACTCGGTATTTCCATTCCATCTTGACCTACAGACAAACAGAGAGACAGACAAAGTGATCATAAAGGCGTTTCATTTTTTTCTGTTTTTAGGTATGGAAAAAGAAAAAACTAAACTAACAGCAATGTAGAACGATTTATTATAATCATTATAAATAACCTAATTATGTCCTGCCCTCATTTTTATTGGAACATCATTATGTAATGATTTATTTAGCCGATCACTTTGAGTCCAATTAACCAGCACATTGTATCGTTATTATTTATATTGGAAGTAGTCTGTCATTCTTAAATTAACTGATACGCGTGGGGTTACAGGTCGGATCTGGGGAATAATTTCTTGTTAGAACCGGTTCTCGTAGATAAGCATGCCTGGTTGAC